TTCCTGATTTTGGAACATGTATAGAATGCGGCGAAGAACGAATTAATGAAGGATGGTGTAAGGATTGTGAAATTAATGCTTTTAAAGTTAACTTCAAAAATTGGACAAGTGGCAATCCTAACATTGATAACTTTATTAAGCATACTCAATTAAATGCAACTGGGAACGTGGATTATTTGGAATATATCGAATTTGAACAATTTGATCTTATAGAGAATACGAATAAAGTAGGGTCATTTAGCACACTTTATTCAGCAATTTGGATGGAAGGTCCACGCTGGAATTGGGATGAAGACGCTGAGCAATTTTCACGTGTCGGACCTGTAAAAGTTGCTCTTAAAAGACTCAATAATTCACGAGATTTGAGTGAAGAATATTTAAAAAAAGTTAGTTCAATAATATTTTTAAAAAAATAAATTTAAATTATTTTTTTCGTTCGATTTTAAGTTTAGTTAATAATTTTCGTTAATCTTTTATGTAAAGATATATAAATATCATTCTTGTTTACAAAGCGAAGGTGTGGCAGATTTTTTTGGTGTCACAAAAGATCCTACTTCAAATTATATGTTTGTCATGAGATATTATGAAAATGGTGATTTATATTCATATATTGAAGAAACTCAAGGCATGCTTTGTTGGAGAGATATCGTCAATATTATTTGGGAAATATCTGGAGGAATTGAATTTCTTCATAATAATGGATTTATTCATGGAAATCTTCATGGAGGTAATCTGTTAATTGAAAATGAACCAGATACCATAAATACATATATTACTGATTTAGGATTAATTGGACCAGCTAATAAAAGAAATTCAACAGAAATCTATGGAGTACTTCCTTATATAGACCCTGAAATCTTAAAGGGAAATCCACCAACAAAAAGTTCAGATGTTTACAGCTTCGGGATTATCATGTGGACCCTTTCTGCGGGTATTCGTCCGTTATGTAATAGAGCCCATGATCTTAGATTAGCCACTGAAATTTGCCTTGGTCTTCGTCCCGAAATTATTGATGGTGCTCCAAATGTTTACATTCAATTGATGAAACGATGTTGGCATCCTGATCCCTCAAAACGTCCAACTGCGTCTCAAATATGTGATTTGTTAGGAACTTGGGTGTCTGCTATTTGTGACGACCCTGATCCTTCGGATTTATCCGATCAATTTGATCTTGCCGAGGAAAAAAAATTTTGCGATATGGAAATGAATGAATTTACTCAACAACAAATCCATTACCAAGCTTTTTATACGAGTAGGCTCATTTGTTTCCCCGAATTAATTGATTTTACCAAAACCTTTTGTAAAAAAAAAGTCTGATGTAG